CAAAAAAGGCATTCAGCAGCTTCTGAACCTGAATATTGCTGCCCACAGTGCGGTACAAGCCTTCTGTCTTGATGCCTAGGAAAAGAAAATCAGGTTAGTTTTGTTTATAGAATTAGAACTTCCAACTCCTCCTGAGTACTTCCTTTCTGTACTTGTACACAAGAGTCAGTTCTGAAGCATCTCCTCCTAATCATCCATATTTTCATTTGCACTGTACCAATTTCCCATTAATCTGAAGACAAGAGAATACAGCACATAGTAAATAGAAGCACATGCTTAGGTGAGTGGCAGCAGATAGGTGAGAATGGTGTTACTGCATTGCAAAGAAGTTAGGGTTCGACTGAACAATGAGGAAATATCAACCCTCACATTGCTCCCAAGCAGCATTATAAAGGAGGAGAGGTTGGAGTATGGCGGATAAGAAGCAAAAGATCATTCTCTGCAGTGAGAAAAAAAACTGAAGCAACATTTCAAAGTTTAAAGAGGCTTGGTTCATATTCTACACCAACTTACATTCTAAATATCTTCTGAGGAAAGCCAACAAGTATCATCAACAAGAAACCATGTTAATTTCACATGTGCCTAAGTTTAGCTTGGCCCCATCAGTTTTTCAATGAGTATGATATTTTGTTGCCATTGTTGCTGTTTTGTTTGTTTTTTTGTTTTGTTTTGTTTTCTCTTTTCCCTCCTTCCTTTCTTATTTCCTTTCTTCTTTCTTTCTTTCTTTCCTTCCTTCCTTTTCTTTTCTTTTGAATCCAGGGGTGCTCTACCACTGAGCTACATCCCCAACTCTTTGGATTTCATATTATATGACAGGGTCTCCCTACATATAGGGAGCTTGTGATCTTCCTGCTTCAACCTTCCAAGTTGCTGGGATTATATCTATATTATAGCAGAAATTGAAATCTTGTTTATCTACAATGCCACCATCATAACATTGCTTGAAGGTACTAGATACTATTTCAAAATACCTTATAAACCATTTGATGTGATTTCTCTTTAAAAACAAGAAACTACGAATTATGCAAATATGTCTGGATACTGTTTTTAGAATTTGTTGAAATTATGCAAATTGTATCCAGTGCATAAATTTATTAGTAGTTGTCATTCCCAAGATGGGTCCTGACCAATAGATAATTCCATTACTACATTAGAGAAATAATGCCAGGATAAAATGACAATGACCAGATTTAAACAATGTCAAGACTATGGTTCAGATCTTACCTTTAGTCTCAATGATATTGATGCACTTCCTAACAAACTTGAACCCCACTTCATTCAGCTCCACTGTTTCAAGCAAAGGAAAGCAGAGTTAGATTCTACTAAATGGGCATCTCCTATCAGACATTCAATGATCATGCTAAGGGACAACAGTAAGACAACTAAGGAGTTTTTTGCTCATCTCCAATCACCTTTAAATAGAAAGATCCTTTTATTCAGGGAATATAATATAATAAGAGTTTTAACTCTTATAACACAAAATATTTTTATTGAGCCCATTGCATTTTGTCTGCTTTAGGCATGAGTGACCTCAAATGTGAAATGTTAGCTCAGAAATACACACGATTTCTATCCTGTGTCTAGAACAAAAAACACATTATGTGTTTCTCCACATCACCACTACTATCCACACCATTTGCTAAATGAACTGACTTCCTTAGTTCAATCAACAGATGATTTTAAAAATAAAGCTGAATTTCATTTCACACAGAGGCATCCAACATTCAGTGTTGCATCATTAGTACATAACACTAATGTCAGCATTCACTATGACTGGGACAGCATGCAGTTTATAATGTCAGTAGAGCAGAAATTTGAATGACTCACTTTCTTCCTGTTTCGTTATGGGGCTGTGGTAGATCTACAAAAGAAGAGAAACAGAAAGAGCCATGGCTATTGTGAATCACTATAGGTAAGCAGGGCAAATATTGACTCCAGGGCTGGAACAAAAAGGAAAGTAGGCTAAACAGAATCATCTTTGCCCAGATCCTGAGAAAACAGTTTCCCAATCCCTGAAAATTGTGCCAGATTTCATTACTGTAACTGAAGCAGTAGTCAATCCATCTTAGACATTTACTTTATATAAAGCTTAGAGCATTTTTATGATAGAGCTAGAAAGCATGAAAAAAAGAAATGATTTTTTCATGGATGCCTGGGTAATGGCCATTAATGCTAAAATTTAAATGATTTTTTTCAATACCAAACTCCATACCCAAGACTAGTTAATGGATTTTTCTCTTTGGAAAGGCAAGAGTCAATATGAAACAGATTCATGTTTTTACCAAGATTTCTCTGAGATATATAGATATACAGATATATAGATATATAAAGATATAGATATAGATATATAGATATAGATAGATAGATATAGATGGATACATAGATAGATAGTTATAGATGGACACAATACCTTTATTTTTTAGAATTTTTTTATGCAGTGCTAAGGATTTAGTCCAGTGCCTCACATATGCTAGGCAAGTGCTCTACGACTTAGCACAATCCCAGCCCCCCCTGAGAAGTCTCGAAATACACATTGTGGTAACCATGTAATAGCCCTGAAAGGAGGTTCTTACTTCTTGAAATTTGGTAGTACTGGTTCCACTGCTACCTCATTAGGACATCTTTAGCATGCCCTTTACATTCTCTAGATTTCGAAATTTCTACCAGTAAAGTGATCAGGATTGGAATAGATGTTCTCTCAAGCCCCGATCCTTGATGCTCTAATCAAAGTGATGCACATCATGTGTAAGATCAGTGGCTTGGGATGTTTAGTCAAGTAGCAACAGTATTAGCAATGTGAGGCTGCAGGAAATAAGCCCTTTACAGGTCATCTGTTAGAGGCCTCTTTAACAGCCTCTTCTTTCAAAAGAAACTTTTCTGCATATGTTGTATATACCTACGGATAATTCAGTGAGAGAGATTTCAGAGCTGACCAGCCTTTCAGGCTGCTTTAATAAACAAGACATATATGAAAAGTCTGCCATGATCAAGTTAGGTGAGGATTCATATTCAGTGGGCCCATGTTCTAACACCATTCTCTGCAAAGGATTGCCTGTATCCTTCCATCTTTAAAAACCTAAAGGAAGAACAAGTGCAGGTGAGAAAATTAAGAGATAAATTCTAGTGCTTAGCTGACCACCTATCATCTTCCTTAAGAAACTTCACAGGCATCAGGTTTCAGGAGATGACTGGAAGGATGACAGGCCCTGGCCTACATCCTGGATGGCAGTCCTCATAGTAATACTTCTCTCCTGCTACCTGCTGGATTACAATAAATGCAACCTGGAATCTGGTTACTCATCTTACTCACCAGGGCACTGAGGACACAAAGAAAGAAAAACCTGAAATGCATTTCCCTTTGTGGTTTGTTTTTGGCTGAAATAAAGCAAGGATTCTAGACTGTATACAAATGTTTTTGAATTTCAGTAGCTTTACGCCTATCCTTCAGATCCATGAGAAGCAATGAAAATGAGTGTAATGCATAAGAGTTTACAGAAAAGTTTTCATTTGATTTTTCAAAGCAACCCTGTGAATGAAAATTATTAAATATATTAAAGTCATTTTAGTGAAGAAAAGAAAACTGAGTGTCAGAGAGGTAAAATAACTCACCCAAGGTCACAACAATTTAATCATAGAACCGGGACCCAAATCCATGCTTTTGTGATTCAAATATTAGGAGGCTGATATAATTTATTTCATATATGCTACCAAAAGAAATCTACTAGAAAGAGACTGAAAAGAGAATGCACTTCAGTGATTTCTGACTTCTCATATTGGTCTTTTTAGGAAAATACATGCACTTTAAGAGATCACTTGTTCACCTGCCTAACTGTGTTCTAAATGGAGTATACTGGGATACAGGATGACAACTCTATCTCCTGCAGTAGTTGAACCTTAAAAGAGAATATGCTGAGCTAGGGGTGAAAAAGGAAGAATAAAAATTGTTTTGAATAAGTGATTAATAAATGCTTATTTACGGCCATAACAATTATTTCTATTCTTTTCTATGAACACATATTAATAATATAATTTGGAAAAAAAAGCTTAATACCCTTTCTTAAGGTCTTATGGGCATAGATAACTATATAGTCTAACGTTAGAGCAGGGAGCTTTGATGCCTTCTCAGAAGGTGATCCTAGCCCCCTCTGGAATTCAAGTTGCTTTACTTATTAAACAAGAGATGTGCAAGTTATAATTCCTTCCAGCTCTAACGTTTTCAATATGAATTAATTGTCTTAGACCCACCAACTCCACTAGAGGGCACTCATACATTGGACTACGTTGCTGAGGTTTTCCTAGTATCTGAGGCAACTTACAGGTTCTTTCCCATCCATAGCTTCCATCCATAGCCTTCTGTTAGCTTCTGAAAGAGCCTGCAGAGTGATGGTACCTGGTCTGAGGGGAAAAATGACAAGTTTAAAGCAGATATTTGCCCAAGGGAATGGAGTCTTGTGATCTAGGTTCCCTCACTTCCCTGAGAAGTGTCCCATTGGCAAGCCATGGTCCTACAGAATTCTAAGTTTTCAGAAAGTAGTTTGTTTGTTTGTTTGTTTATTTATTTATTTATCTGTATTTGGGACTGAACTCAGGGGCACTCCACCACTGAACTACATCTCCAGCCCTTTTAAAAATGTTTATTTTGTACATGGTTTAAGTTGCCCAGGTTGTCCTCGAACTTGTAATCCTCCTGCCTCAGACTCCCCCAGTAGCTTGTATTATAGATGTACACCACCACTGCACCCAGCTGAAAAAGCTCTTTTACTAGAACAATAATGGAATGTTAGACAACAGTAACTCTCAGGACCCTGAGGGAGGTGGTATCTTGGTGGTATCTTGGTGATTCCATGACAGGGTTGAGCAAAGAAACAGGAAGGCAGATATTGAGATACCTCACCATAATACCCATGTAAAATGACCCGGTTGTGCTTCAGGCAAAGTAAAGCTCTTTGTGCCTCTTTGGAAGTCAGTCACTTGGTCTACACTCTGCGGGGTGAGTATGTACACCACAGGCACATTTGCCACATTTCACGTCAGAAAAAGAACTTTGCTCCTTCTACCACCTTAGATGTCCAAGAAACATTTTAAGTTTGAAAGATTTCAGCAACAGGCAGACTGGCTAAGCTACACGGGGGGAGGCCTTTTGGCTGAGAAGCAATCTTATCATGACGAATAACAACAATTAATATTTCTCGAATGCTTACTAGGTGCCAGATTCTATTCTAAGTATTTTACATGCACGAACTCATTTAATTCATCCAGTCCATCCTGCAGTTACTACACTCATCATCTCTAGTTCATGGAAAGGGAAAGTGAAGCCCACAGAAGCTATCCAAAATCACAAAGCATATAAGTGGTAGAGAAAGGTTTAAACACAGAAAGTATGGTCCAGTAGCCATATTCTTAACCACTACACTATAAAGCCTCTCCTACATGGCAGTTGGTTTCAAACTCAATTATATTCTATTTACTTGCTAACTGCTATGATCTGAATATCTTCCCAATACATATGTTGAAAAGTAATCACCCATGTGACAATATTAACAGGTGGGCCCAAGAGGAGGTATACACCCTCAAGGATGGGATTAGGAGCCTCATAGAAGGCTTCATGGAATGAATTCCTTCCATTCCCTTCATTTTGCCTTGTAAGAACACAATAATTGTTCTCAACAGAAAATGCAGAAAAAAGATGCCATCTTAGAAGCAGAGGTTTGGCCCTCACCAACCTGCCAGCAATTTCGTCTTGCACTTCGGCTTCTAGTATTGTGAGAAACAAATTTCTGTTGTGTATATTATCCAGTCTCTAGTATTTTGTTATAGCAGCATGAATAGACTGAGACATTACCTATACCCAGAGATACCTCAGGTTTGTATATTCTTTATGATTTTTTTTTAACCTTCATGACCAAATTGGAAATTGGGATTGACCATCCTATTGTAGACATAAAGTCTTGGTTCCTCTCACTTCTTCTATGATCATATGAGATTTCTCTCAGAGGAAAAAAATCATAAGAACAATGACAAGAGACCCTGGACAAGTCATTTGGCCTCTCTGGACCTTTGTTTCTTTATCTGTAAAGGGTTTTAGAACACATGAGCAGGGAGTTCCTTTCCAGTGCTGATATCATGGGATTCCTGTTCTACCTACCCTTCCATGTCTTACTTCATTAAAATACCCCTTAAATGGAAAGCCAAGTGGCCTTTAATGCAGAATCAACTGAACACCAGAACTTGGTTCTATATACAGAATTCTTCTGAGTTCACCTCTCTCTAAGAAACACCCATCTTTTGGATATATCTCGTGGGGCTCAAAAGTGTAATGCTCTTTGTAAAGATAACTATTCATCCGAAATCCAAAGTCAAAAGGAAGGAAAACAAGCAAATGAACATCACACATAAAAGCAAACACTGCAGAATAGATATGCTTTTAGAGCCCTCCTGGATTTCAGAATCCCTACTGGGGAAGTTGAAAAGTCATTATTTGTCCTCTCTTGACCTTATAGAGAGGAAACATTTGGAGATTATTGGATGTGACTCAAAGAAGAATTTAAAGAACAATATTACTACAAACAGAATGACAAAGTATAAAAAGTACTAAGTTATAACTGACACTCCTCCACTAATTACCTTTATAATTTCAGCCCTTCCATCTGGAACCAAAAGGCATGTATGACATTCAGCAACAGAACCCCAGACTCTACCTTTTGAGTAGCTGTGTAACCCAAGTTGCTTAAATTTTTCATCCCCCTGGCTTTCTTTGTGAGCAGAGGATAAAAGCAGCCCCTATCTCGTGTGACTGCAGGGAGAAATAAAGGTAATTGTGCACTTAAATGGCTGAGAACAGTTCCTGGCACATAGTAAATACTTGGCAAAAGTTAGCAGTTACTATTGTTGTTATGATTAAGACAATCTGATGTGCTATGAGCTTGGGATTCCAAAAACTGGTAAAAAATATAACACTCAAATTTTAAAAGTTTACCCTCTTTTCCTGAAATAACAAAAGGAACTTGCTGGGCACAGTGGCACACACCTGTAATCTCAGTGATTCAAGAGGCTGAGGCAGGAGGATCACAAATCCGAGGCTAGCCTCACAACTTAGTGATATCCTATCTCAAAAGAAAAAAGAAAAAAAAAAGGCTGGGGATGTAGCTCAGTGGTAGAGTATCCCTGGGTTCAATTCTCAGTAGAAAGAAAGGAAAATGGAAAGGAAAGGGAAGGGAAAGATAGGAAAGAAAGTGAGACTCAAAGAACACTTTTCTCTGTTCTTCAGGGAATATGAGCAGAGATATATGATGCCTGCTAAAAAGCATAACTCCATTCCTTACATGGGATTAAGTACCTAGGAAAGGAGATGCCATACACCTTAGAAAATTTCACTTGCAGAGAGGTCCTCATCACCTATTCATTATTATCTCTAACACTCTATATTTCACAGCATGTTCATTCCATTTATGAAAGATAATGGCACAAAATAAAAAAGGGCATGGGCTGCAGGTACTTACAGACCAGGGACTGAGGTCAGCCTCTCCATTTATCATGTGACTTTGGTTGGGCAACTTAAATACTTAATATTTAAGTTAAATATTAGTTAAATTTTGGGGGTCTCAGTCTTCTCATCCATAACTTACGTTTAAGGGACTAAATGAGGGATTTTTTTAAAGTATACAATATATGGAAACGAATATGACAGACTCATCAGAATTTCAATTCCTGGGATCTAGTCTCAAAATTCCTTAGCATTCTGGGGAAGGGAAAGGATATTTAAAAATAAACACCAAATGTATTACTTATCATGAGCTATGCATAACACAAGGTACAAGAAATATAAAATAAATTTGGTCTCAGCCTCTAATCTCAGGGCCAAAGCAAAACTGCTTTTTGTCAGGGAAACTCTTTGCATGTAGCTTGTGATTTTTTTTTTCTTTTTAAAATTTGTTCTAATTAGTTTAGCTTATAAATTTAAACTAAAAATGGAATCAGAATGGAACTAGACATGGAAAATTTTAACACTAAGCACCTTGCTGCAACATAACCAAAGACACTATAGGTTCATAAGGGGAAACAAGAACCTGCAATAATTTTTCCCTTCTAACTAGGCTTGACACTGTCAGGAAAATAAGTGACAGTCTCATGGTTACTGGTAACTACATTTACTATCATAGTGATACTATTTTTAACAAAGAAGTCACATAGATACACAAATCAAAATTCTGAGAGTCCCATATTAACATCCCAATTTTCAAATAGGGAAATAGACTAGTAGTTACTTATTCCTGGGAAAGAAAAGTGCCCTCACATCTTAGTCTAATCTTTATGATTCCAGTCACTATTTTTGTTCATATATTATAATTCACCCATCAAGGTCCTTTCTAGCAAACTGAACATTTTTCTAGATTCTACTTTACAGACCAGGGACTCTATAGAGTCTATACTCTATTACTCAGATAGCAGATTAAAATAAAATGTAGAAACATGTTTATTCAGTCAAATTTTTGATCAGCCTCCCAAAGCAGGCCTTTTTCCAAAATAATGTGAAATACTTTAATTTTAAAATTGAAAGGTTAAATTCTCCTCCAATAAAATGGTTCAGATTCAGGGAAGAAAAAAGAAGACAATTGGAGAAAAATATTGGAACCAAAGTTTCAAATTTGCATGCCATGTCTTGCAAGCAAAGCTGACATGATAAACTATTCCAGTTGACATAAATAACTGCAAAATAGAGAAAGTCTACAACATTTTTGCACCAAGTGGGCAACAAGACTCCCCATGGTACCTCCACCCTCCACCCCATCTGCCTTCCCTCAAAGATGTGTGCCAATTCACTCATTTTTATTATATTGAGAGATTTTTAAGAGATCAAACTTGTCATCCTATCCTTTTTGAAGCATCACCAAAGATGGAACTTTCACACGTGTGACAGCAAATTAAAACCTAGGAGTGATTTTTTTTTTTTTTTTTTTTTTTTTTTTGCCCAAAAGAGGTGAGGCAAATGTGCCTGAAGCATGTACAGAGAAAACCAGCTGTGGGCTGATCAAACAGGGATCTCTGTGAAAGGCAGACTGAAAAGCCAGCATGACACTCTGTTTTAATACACTTGCTCATTTGCATCAAGAGATGACAGAGGAAAAATAAAAGACCTCCCCAGGCTCAGCATCTGGCACATGGCAACATTGCCAATTCACCAGCATAACTTACCTTTCATTAGTTTCTATATCAAAACAGAACCTCTTGTCAATAGACTCTGTCTTCCTTCTCACGCAGTATTTCAGGGTTAAATCCAAGGGTCCCTGATATGACAGAAGGATTAACATGTAATTTAAAAAAATACACAGGAACTTCTTCCCCCTGCAGCTTCCTTGGTGTCATTCGGAAGGCATCTGTGAAGGCAGCAGGAGCCATGTATAGACTCACTGAAAACCCTGTCCCTTTGAACAGTACTTGCAGCAAGATGGCAGATGGTTTCTCCCTGCTCCACAAATGCATGGCTGAGATGAGAAAATGCTCAGGGCAGGCAAGCACTCTTTCCCAAGCATAGTGGATTAAATAGGAAGCTCAATATACATCACCCAAGGGCAGTGTTGGAGAAATGGATTATCTAAATAGCATTAAGTATACAAAATAAAAATTTCATGAGACCTCTGTGTCAGGAGGCTGTAACAAGGTAAGTGGCTTTTGAAACCATCCTTAGAATGCCAGAGAGAAAGTTGAGCAAAAAACTTCATTAAAGTGGCAGATGAAAGAGGGAGGACAAACATTTCTGGTCCCTACCCCAGGCTCTTGAGGATGACAGGAATCATAAAAGTAACCTCTTCAATAATAGGATGAGTCGGAGAAAAACTCAAATTTATGTATTTGTTGAGGTGGCATTTGATGTTCCACATGTACAGAACAGTGTGGCTCACCTTAGTCTGTGGGATTTTAAGCCACTAAAACCCACATGTCTACAGACTAAATCTTCCCTGTCCTATGTTTTTCAGTTTCCCTCAATCATTTCAACACAGACAGTGTGTGTGTGGTACAGAAAACAGAAGTAACATTTATTATCTACAATGTCCCATATTATGCTGGTAGTTTAAAACCAGCTTTCTTCACCACAACTATCTGAGAGAAGTGAAGTTCAGAGAAATAAAATGGCTTACTTGAATAAGCCTAAGTTAATATAGTGGAAATAGCAAAAATTTAGGAATCTAAGACCTAGAGTCTTATCTCAATTATGCCATTTGCGAGCTATGTGACCCTGGGCGAATTATTTTCCCTCTCTGAGTCTCAATTTCACAATCTATTAAATGGCAATATTTGCTATCTCAAATTCAGGAACATTGCCCAAGTACCAGATTTGTGCCTATGCAACATGCCATCCAAACCAGCCCATATGTCTAATCATCAAATACATCTCTCTCATTGCACACTCAACCCCTTGAAGGTCAATACTTTTTGCTGTTCCTGTACTATAAACCCTCAACTCTAAATCCAATATGTCTTCCTTATTCCAATACTTGGGATGCTACCTATTAGTCTTTCAAGATGAGTGAAAGACTCATGCACTCACCCTCCCTCTTTAAACTCTCAACTACATTAGCTTCAATAGCATTGCAGTGAGGGGCCTATATCCTGCCCACTACTTTGGCCTCCCCGCCACAAGTTTGTCCCATCAGTGCCAAAATACTCATTCACATGCATATCATGTTTTTTTCATGACTCTACAATTTTACATATATTGTTGTCTCCACCCAAAATCATTTTGTCTGTTTTTGCCTGACTAAGCTCTTACTTAGTACAAACTGCATTTCCGTTTTAATTTCCTCCAAAGTCTTTCCCCCAACCCCATACATTGCCCACCCCATGCTTTGCACTTTATATCAAACTTTCCTGTTTTTATGTCTAATACTCCCACTTGAATGAGAACTCCTCAAGGACATGGGCATTGTCTTATTCCTCTTTCTATCGCTAGCTCCTAGCAAATAGTTAGTGCTCAATAAATGTTTATGAGCTAAATTATTGTCTTTGTCACTCTTCTGATAAAGAAACTGAGACTGAGAAATACTTTAGACAAGATCAAAAAAGTAGATCACAAAGCCAGGATTTAAACCCAGTTTTGAGACTCCATATGTAGTATTTATTTCTTCTATGCTGGAAGAGAGGGGATACAATAAAATACTATTTGGAAGGTGATCAGTAAAGTCAATGGTACAACACAAATGAGAGTTGATGGGCTGAGATGTAGAAGACACTAGTAAGTGTTATGATCAGAACAAAGGCCAATTCCTCCATCTCCAAATTGGAAAAAGAATACCTATTCCACAGTGTTGCTGAGAGAGTATATGAGGCACAGAACAGAACATGTGTAGCTCAGTGTTTGGCACACAGCAAGTATTCAAGAAAGTGTTATTTTGGTACTATTATTATTAGAGCATCATTTACCTCTATTATTTACATTTCAAAAACAAAGAAGTACCAGGAACTATACCGGAGAATTAGCAAGAGGAAATCATTTCCAACTCCAATTTGAGGAAATTGAACTAACTACTCTTATGCCCCATACCCCCACCTTCTAAATGAGAAACTGAGTTCCTCTTTGCATTCCAGAAAGAATCCCTCACTAAAACGGTTTATGCTGACACTATTGCGGTTTTATAAGAAGCCATTCAATGAAAAGGGAAGAGGGAAACAAAAACTAGGGGGGCTTACTCGCATCTGCCCAGGAGGAAATGAAAGTGGAGTCTGTTAAATCTATCTTAGGCTTTGCAATATGTACATTCAAGAAGGAAATAAAAGGCCTAAATGATAATGCTGTCTATAAAAGGAGTTTGAATATCCAGGATTTGGAAAATAATGTGTAGAAAAATAAAAGACTGCAGGCCAGGTTGCTCATAAGCACTTGCCAGTCAAATACTGACTTGGAACAAATTCTGTACTGCAACATGACATGAATTTAGTGGAACTATGCTGAAAGACACTTCAACAATTGTCAGGCTAGAAACTGAAGATTGGTTAGAAGTCATGAATGAGCAAATGCAAGAATAGTAGCATGAATGGTGGAACGGGAGAGGATTCTAGAAATTAGGTTTGGTACATGTCCCCAGAGTTCAATCCCATCTCCAAACCATATTCAAGGCAAAGTGATAAATACTATGGTTAAAGAACATAGTGGACTGGGAGGAAGCAGTTTTCAACCAAAATTCCAGACCTGTCTCATCTTATATGAACAAGTCTCACAAGAGAGATCTTCCATAGAAAATTCTTGCCCACCTTAATTGGGTCTTCTTGCACTATTTTCAATGCTGACAAGTGATTATTAACATGCTTCCAACAGTTTGAAAATACTTAAAAATCACGCACTAATAATCTCATTTCTCAGTGAAGAACAAAAATGATGCCATGACTACAAGCTTATTAAATAATATTTCCCCTTATTTTCATATGTTGTATTATTAAACCTTCCATATCTGAATATATATAAATCTATCACAGTTTCAGCACTTTTCCAACTGTTTTCCTATCAAAAGCTTACTTTTTGTGATTTTAATTAATTATGAGATTTTGGGCGGAGACAGTTAAATTAAAAACATTTATCAGCAGGAAAAAATCATGCACCAAGACCATTATATAAGCAATTTACAGAGGAAATCGACATATTAAACTACTTTAAAATATGAACAATTGTATTGACAATCAGCTTGAGAAACATCCACGGTGTGTGTTTGTGGATGTGATGTATAAAAAACATCAGGTCCTTGCAGGTAAGTAAACTCTCTTCTCAGTGTTTTAAATTGATCTTATCATTTTGAGGCAGTGGGAAAAGATTCGAAAGGCAGAAGAAGAGATATTACATAAAACTTGATATTACATAGAATGCAGATTTAGGTTTTTTTTCAACTGTAGGCAACAGGCATACTCCTCTTAAAAATCAATTCTGGAAGTTGATTCATATTTTTAAGATTGCTACTTAAAAGAATCCTGGAGGTGGGGACAGTTCTCATGAAAATCTAAGGGAGATCAATACAAAGAAGGGTCCAAGAGGTGGGATGCAGAAAGTGATATTGACCAAATTATAACATTACATCATGTGTATGTATAAATATGTAACAAATCCCATCATTGTGTACAACTAAAATGTACCTATAAAAATTGTAGAAAATAAACAATCCAGTAGTAAAGCCTTCTTAAAAGCAATGCATATCTAGTTTTGCATATTTTCTCTGTATAACTAACAGTCATTTGTAATACTAATAGACTGAAACAGAACAGACACTTTCAGAATGCCTGCTGAAGTTAATTAAATTAATTGAGTAATTTATTTATTTGTTTGTTTGTTTATTTATTTAGTTTATTTATTTATTTTTTTTTTTTTACTGAACTGAATGATATGTGGCCCAATGTAAACTCAGGCCAGGGAGAATACATAAAGGATAAATTCACATGACTATAATAGACTTGATTATGTGACACTAAGTCCATATATATTCTTTCCTGAGCTGTAGTCACAGATGCATCTCAAAAAATATGGCACAAAAAAGAACCAACCTGCTTAGCACCTGGCTTTTGTTCCATAGGTATCATGGTGAGTGTTTTGGTCTCTTTCTCATAACGGCAGTAGTATTTCACCCAGGATATTCCCAAGGCCCCTACAAAGACAGACAAAAGTGAGCTAACAGAATCAGGATTTCAGCTCTAAAAAACAGCAGCTGTTTACAGGCTGCTCATCACAGCCAGATCCAGATGCAGCACTTCCCTTCCCCTGAGCTCCAGCCTTACCTAGCCTCCTGCCCACTGTATATCTGGAGATGATAACCTTACCAACTTCTTTTCAGTGGCTCCTGGCTGGCTCCAAACCCATTCTCCCTGCCATGTTCCCATGAATGGAACCACCACACATTCCAGAATCTGGAACCTTCTGTCTTCTGCTCCTCTTTCCCTGCAAATAACCTCCCATTTGATTTGTCGTTGGGCCGTGCCCCTTCTATCCTCCACATGTCTCTCCTTAAGCTGCCTTCCATCACTTTTAGCACTGAATTATTGAAGGTCCTTATTGGTGTATTTTTTAAATGTTTACACCATATTTCATAGAAAACACAAGTTCACTACTTTACCAATTAATAATTTCAGTGGACTTCTCTCTTGTTTTCCCATCTGTGATTGCTGTTTTGAGTCTAGTCTTTACTCTTTGTTAAAAAGACTCATTTTGAAAATTATATCCCTATTTATGTCATTCCCTTTATTATAAATCACTCATGGCCTTCACACTATCTCCAAACTTTAAGCACCTTCCCCTCTATATTCCTGTCTTACTGTATGATTTTAAGATCCCAAATAAATAAGTAATCATATAATTTATAGTTCAAACCCAAAACATACTTAAGAGTGAATGGGACATTATTAATAATTACATCCGAACAAAAGGTGTCGACCAGGGCCTTTCTTGGCAAACCGGAACCCTACAAACAAATCATAGTCCCTCACCCCCCTGGGTGGCTTTACTCATGTATACATGTTCGGATATAATTATTAATAATGCCCTGCTTACTCTTAAGTATGTGGTATACACATGGAATTTTCTTCTCCCATTTCTTTACCTGTTAAAACTTCCACTCAACACTAAAGTCTTAGTTCAAACATGTTTTCCCCAATAAACCCCTTAGATATATGCCCCAAAGTGCCTAACACATTTCATTGATAAATTTGTTTATATCACACATAAGACTGTGAACTCCTTAATGACAAAAATCCACTGTTGAGTCATCTTTTTGCACCCTAATACATTACACAGTGTCTGGAAGAATTGATGCTAAGCACACATTTAACTGGGTAACAATGTTGTACCCATTGGACAATTAGAAACCTAGGGCACAGAAGGATCACACAGCACACAGCAGAGGTTCCTCAACTCTGGGCAATTTTGCCTCCCAGGGGACATTTTGCAATGCCTGAAGAAATTTACATTGTCACACCTAGGTATCCTATTAACATAAAGTGAAGAGAGGCCTGGGATGCTATTAAACACAACATAATACACAAGATTGTGTCTTCCAAACAAAGAATTATCCAGTCCAAAATGTCAATAGTGTTGACATTGAGGAAATCCTTCAATGCAGAGTTGAAGAGATAAACCTAACAAATGAGAGAATATAGTTTGGAAACCATCAAAATTTAATTGATCTAAGGAGGTAGAGCATGATATCACTGCTAATGTGCCATGCTTCATAAACTGTGATGATTTTTTCCACAAATCACCTCTAGGGGTATCTCTTCCACTAGTCACCTCTAAGGGTTTCTCTGATTCTGTTAGCTCTGAGGGCTTGCCCAGCACATCTTTTTACTCCTCAGGTAAATTACATCTCTATTTATGTCATTCCCCTTATTATAAACCTTATTATAAATTCTGAGCAGGAATTGAAATCCCAGAATTTGGGGGTGTCATACTTCAAAAGGAAAAAAAAATTCAAACAGTACATATGGGTTTCAATAGTTATTTAGGAAGTAAAAATGCTTGAACTATCTCTAACACTCTGTGACTAGATGATGTAATAGTTAACGTTCATTATTTCGACCAAAATTAGAGGATGGTATTGGGGGTTGTGGGAGGAGTATGAGTTTCAGCATCTCACAGACCTGAATTTAATCTGAGGCCTGTCATTTGTTAATAGAGTGACTTTTATAAGGTAACTTCTCTGAGCCTCAGTGGCCTCATGTGTAAAATGGGTATAAGGGGAAATCAAAGATTAAATGAGACAGTGCTGTTAAAGCACTTAGCACCATGCCTGGCACATAGTAGGTATAATAAATATTTCTCTGCCTCTATTTGCCCTACCTTTCTTTCTGTCCCAAAGAGCCATCAGAAGGATTAACAAATAACAATCCTAATTTTGAATCTCAGAGAAAATTCTTGGATCTTATCATTCTAAAGCCTTTGAAAGATGAATTCTTAATTTTCCCTGAATTTTCTTCCTTTTTTTATATTTACTATTCTCATTCTACCTTCCTTGGAATTTCAGTTATTAGGTATCTATGAATGATATGGGTGCCCAAGGATCAGAAAGGTCAAGTGGCAGCAGGCACCAGGCTTCTGTAACCCAGTGGATACCCCTGTGTTCCCACACACATTTCTCTTGTGTATAGAGATAGCCTTCTATGGTTGGCTGTCCTGGAAGTTTGCATGTCTGGGGAGCTTCTTTCATCCTTTTCTTAAGTTCTTCCATCTCTTCCCGGGTACTGGAGAAATGATTTCTTGTCTGTCGAGACATCAGTATCATGATCATTATCATCATCATCATCATCACCATCATCATGAATAAGTATTTATTGGTCAGAGTTCCAGTACAGAGTTTTCAGTTTATAGCATATGCTACAACTAACAAAAAACAAATGCTTCATAGCACAGCAACTAGAAAACAATTTTATGGAGTTTAATGGTACTGATGACCAGTAGAGAAACAAAAAAGGTATAGACAGCAATATACTCATAAAATCACAACTGGGAGGCTGGGGTTGTAGTTCAGTGGTAGAGCGCTTGCCCAGCATGTGTGAGCCACTGGGTTCAATCCTTAGCACCAAGTAAAAATAAATAAATAAAATAAAGGTATTGTGACCATCTCAATAAAAATATTTTTGTAAAAAAATCACAACTGGGAGAATATTTTGTTCAATGTGAGCTATGCCAAGACTCCAATAAATAAGGACTCTTAGACCACTAAGCACCACACTGTCCTCTGTACAACAAGTGAGACTGTAGAGAAGGTTCTCAAAGATAATATTATTATGGCAACTTCCACATCTTTCCTTAAATATAATGACTGTCTATTTGACCTGAAATCAAATTCTATCCATGAAGATAAAATATATGCAAGTGTTCTGTTTGAAAATAGGCCAACAGAATTTATATTTTAATACCCACAAATATCAAAGGCTAATAGTGAGAAAGAATCTATTTAAAACTATAGAATTAAAACACAATGACAAGTCAATTTGAAAGGTTTGAGTATGAAAACCATTAGAGATAGGTCCTTAGTGCCCAGTCTCACAAGACTATGGCATGATGTCATTTATAAATGTAAGAAGAGTCAAGTGATTAACTTGGTTGTAGATACATTTTGTAAATCAGTAGATGATAGAGGTTCTCACATGCTAGAGAAGAGTACCCAGAAAGGAGGAAAGTATACAGGAAGAAAAAATAGCATCCTCCTAAACAACCCAGTGAGACTTATTTCCACTATACTGTATTGGTATTTTTATCTGAAAATATATCTGTAAGTTTCATGCAATACAACACCCAGTCAAATATCACCTGACCTCAGTGTTGCCTTCTCTGACTCTACCAGAAAGTGTATTGTTCCATTCTTTGTGCTTCTTTAAAACTTTTACTCTTGATTCTAGCACTTATCATAATGGATTATGATTCATCTGTGCTTCTGTCACTCCTCCATAAACACTTACATGCCTCATTATGGTGTTTGCAGTGCATTTCACAATGTCTAGCACAGAGTATGCGCTCACTGTAAATCCATAAATGTTCATTAATTGTGGGTTAAATAAGTGAGTAAAAGAATATGTGGCAATATAAGTGCCCCAAAACATGGAAAACCTATATCTATGTCCACTATAAGAACCAGCATAACAATAAAGGTAGAAAAAAACCTTTGAAATTTGTTTCTTTAACTCTAGAAATAAGTACTGACAAAAAGAGAGGATAAAAATGGGTGTCCGTGGTAATAAAACCCAGAGTGACTATTTTGGTAAACCAGGGAAATAACTTACAACCTGTACTTAAATAAGCCTATAGCTGGATTCTGTTATGAGGAGATGCAGCAAATTAGCAACATTTAATAAATTAGCAACACCTAAATGGAGATGTTGGTGGATGGAAGGGTGGGTTTGAATAGCACTCAGCCGAAAAGACAGGGAAGAGCTGAAACTGGAAGAGCAAGAAGAATACAGTACACTAAAATATTTCTGATCCACACCAGCATGTCATGACAAATTGGTTGGTATGCAATAAACTAGAATTCCAAGTTCAAGGTCACTGGGACTAAAATTCAATTGGAGAGACAGGTGAAGAAACCTGCATGAAACTCACATTCTGCAAACTGAGCTGCAGCTGCTGTTTGTATGGAAGGAAATCCTGTGTGAGCTCCACAGTCAAGCTGTTGGAAATGAAGAGGCTGTGAAGAAAGGCCAAGACCTAAGGAAAACATGCAAAAACAACTGTATCAGCAGTTCCTTCTAATTAATCAAATACAGGAACCACGAACCCAGAGAACAAAACTTCATAGTATTTACCCAGTATAGTTTAAAAAGCAGTCATGCAAACACAACCAGTTGTATAAAGAACTATTCTCATATTAGTTTGAACATTTACCCTGTACTTAGTTTCAGAAAGTAAGTAACAAATGTATTCATCCAGATCCAGATCCTGTTCAAATTGCAAACAAAGCCATTCATAACTTGGACAGCTTGAGAATGGACTGTTTTCTCTATACACAGTGAGAATCTCTAACCCAAAAATCTGAAGTCCAAAATGCTCCAAAATCTGAAACATTCTGAGCATTGTCATAATGCCACAGATAGAAAATTCCACACCTGGCCTCATGTGGTGAGCGTCAGTCAAAATGCAGACACACATTAAACATATTGCATAAAATTACTTTCAGATAATGGATTCTAAAAATCTATAGCCTCAAGATTGGCACGTGACAGGGGTTCAACAAGTATTTGTTCAATGAATGAATAAGTAAAAGATAAATGAACAATACCTTAAAGAATGTCATCATGCCAAAATATCAAAACAGTCTGAATTGATTATCAAATTAGAAATATTTTAGGGAGTTGCAAATGTTCAAGAATATATTTTTGAAATGTTCAAAATGGTCAAACCCATCAAAATCAAATACACATAAAGAAAATATAATTTTCATCTTGTTTGACGATTATTTTAATTATATCCCTTAAATAAGTGTTTAATGCTGGAAAAGTATAATAGGTAGTAGTAAAAATTGCTCCACTTTGTTTAGAAAACAAATAGGTGTGCACATATAAACATGCATAAACACAAGCCTACGTATAAAAAATATAAGATGTACACATCCTCATATATTTATGACATGTGCATGTATAGGTATGTGTACTCATATATATACTCCTTAACATTTCTCTCCTAAGTTTTTCTGTCTCCAGAAATGACATCAGTCAGCATCCATCAGTCATTCAAACCAGAAATTAAAGAGTCTTCCTTGGTTTTCTTTCACTTATATTTCAATCCAATTCATCAGAAATTTTTTCTGGTATTGCCTCCAAAATATATCAGTAATCCAACCATTCTTTAATGTTTCCACTGTCACCACCCTAACACAAGACAATATCTCCTCCTGTCTACACCATTGCAGTAGCCACGTAACTGTGGTTTCCTCACATCTACTCTTGGGCCCTTTCAAGCCATTCTCCAGACAACAAAATCAGGCCACATCAGGGGCTGCTTAACATGCTTCAGTGATCTGCCACACCACTTACATTAAAATCTAAATCTCTTAACCATGCCTACAGGACTGATGCCCTGTATCGGACATTATCTCCTACCACTTTCCTTTTCTTTCATAAGTATCTAAAGACACAAATCGTTTTTTTTTTTTTTGTTTGTTTGTTTTTTTATTCTTTCAGCACACCATTCTTCCCCAACTTTAGGATTGCTCACATGTCATTATGTATGTTTGAATGTTCTTTTTCCACTATTACCATGGCTGTATCTTTTCTTCCTTTAGGCATGATGTTAAATGGCATTTTCAGAGATTCTTCATGACTACTTCATCTAAACTAGATGCCAATTTTTGTTATTTATTTTAGACCTTTTTGATTTCTATCATAGCCCTAATCACAACTAGTAATTATTTTAACTATGCACATCCTTCTTTCCTTTCTGCCTACCCAATGTAATCTTCATAAAGAAAACAACTGAGTCTTTTTGTTTAGTATAGTATAGTATAATATACTATAGTACAGTATAACTAGTGTTCAGCACAGAGCCTGGAATATAACAGAAACTTAATAAAGATTTGTTGAGGGCTGGGGTTGTGGCTCAGTGGTAGAACACTTGCCTAGCAAGTGTGAAGCACTGGGTTTGATCCTCAGAACCACATAAAAATAAATAAATAAAATAAAAAATTGTGTCCATCTATAACTAATTTTTTTTAAAATTTTTGAGTAAATACATAAATACTTGTTTGCAAAATACATATACAGATGTATACAATTTCAAGTTCCAATACACATGTACATAGATACACACACATATGTGCAATATATATACAAGTGCACACATGTACACACAGCCACACCTACAAGCACACATAGAGGAAGAGACATGAGGAAAAACACAGATAATTCAGAAAAGAAATTGTTACAATATTAACAGTGATGACATAAGGGATTTATTGCATTTCTTTGGTTTATCCTATGCATTTTTTCTACCTTTTTTATGATAAGTACATTATTTTGTAATAAAAATAGTCATCAAAATCCAACATCTTATATATCTTATATATAAGATATATCTTATATATCTTATATATAAGATATATCTTATATATCTTATATATATATATCTTATATATCTTATATCTTATATATATCTTATATATCATATCAAAGATCACTGCCTTTTGTAATAAATTTAGGAGACAGAAATGCAAAAATTATATACCATAGACATGAAAATAGTAAAATGGGAAGTTATAAAGTACAAGGGACATGAATTCTTAGCATAGGCCCTGGTATATGGTAGAGACTTTCAGAACCTTTTTCAAAGCATGAAGGAAAGGAAAGGAGAGGAAGAAAATAAGAAGTATGACAGAGGAATTGGAGGAGGGAGGGAAGGAAGGAGAGAAGGAGAACAAAAAAGTGGAAGAAATAAAATACTCTTAAGAGAAAATCAGTGAGGGAAGAAGAGAAAAAATTAGAATGTTAGTGATAGAGCAGGAAAAACATAAGCCAGTGTGACTATATTTTGACATTCATTATCAAGCACTGATATCATTATCGCCTAGCATGTGCAAGGCCCTGGGTTTAATCGAGCACTGCAAAACAACAAACTATCCAATTTTATGATCAAAATTCCATGCAATTACCTGGTATTTGGGAAATAGTTTTAGAATATTCATCAGCAGACAGAACTTACTGGCTCCACAATATTGAACTTCTTGGATTCCTGAACTTCCTGGATTTGATAAACGTAGTCGAGGGAGGACTCAAAGAAATTGTGCCTCTCTTTGTCCACCTGGAGATCTGCCTGTAGAAGAAGGGCAATACATGTCACAAGTAGGCATTGTCATTCCTACAAGTCAGTCCATTTAGACTTAACAGAATTCTAGAGCTAGGAAAGAATTTAACCACTAATTACTATCTTATTCCTTTATTTTACAAAGAAGGAATATGAAGTCAAGGAATAAAAACAACTAACCCAAGACTTTCAGTTTCTAATCCAACATGTAAGAAGCTTAGAAGTCTTCACACCCATCCTCACAACAAGAAAAAAGCTGAACAAGTGGAAAATCAACTCTTCTTAGAGTCAAAAGAGAACTGAAGTCAGAGAAAAACTCCTCCCTCAAAAACTGGATAGAGGTGAACACAGAGAATCAGTGTATGCCAGAGCAGAAGATCAAAAGCTATAGCCAACTGTTAAGGGATTACAACTAAACAAAATATGCCAAGCCTCAGGCTTATTTAAGAAGAGATCTCTAAAGAAATCTAAAGATAAAACAAGAATGCCAGAGTAAACTTTAGCCTCTGACACTGAGAGAGACTGCAAATTAAGCACAACCCAATGTCAAGCCAGATAACCGCAGAACCTCACACTAAAAATCAATGTACCTCAGTTCCTTTTACCCAAACATCATCTCTGGCTTGTCAATAAGAAATGTTGAAATGCTTTTTTAAAATGCACAGTCTGAACAAAAAGAACAATCATCAGAAACACAGGCAAGGAAGAGATTATGGAATTACTAAGATCATGAGAATATCATGATAAGAATTAATAACTACTATTAATATGATAAGGACCCTAAGGAAAAAAGAAGACATAATGCAACAAACAGATGAGTAATATTAGCAGACAGATGAAAAATTGAAGAAAGGATTCAAAGGAAAAGGAGGAAATCTAAAACACTGTAGTGCAAATGAAGAGCGTCTTTATGATCAAAGTTCCATGCAATTACCTTTCAGGGGTCCATTAGTGGATAGGCCAAGGTTGAGGAAAAAAAATCAGGGAACCTGGGAGCTAACAGTGTGGCTCAATGGTCTAGTGCTTGTCTACCATGTGTGAAGCCCTGGGTTCCATTCCCAAAACCACAAAAAATAAATTGTCATTGAGCTTGAAGATATATCAACATAAAGCTCAAAAACCAAAAGGCAAAACAATTGAAAAACATGAAAACATGGAGTAGAATATCCAAGAATATGGGACAATTACAAAAGGATATATATATATTTTTTTTCAAAGTACCAGAAGAAGAAGACAAAAAAATAACAGAAGAAATATTTGAAGTAATAATAACATAATTTTCCAAAATGAAAGACAGATACTACCACAGATCCTGAAATCTCAGAGACTACCAATCAGGATAAGTATCTAAAAATCTACACGTAGACATAACATACACAAACTGCAAAAAATGAAAGACAGAAATCTTACACAAAGCTAGAGGAACAATGAAACAACTTACCTACAAAGGAACAAGGATAAAATTGTATCAGATTTCTTTTAAGAAACCATGTAGATTTCTGGTAAATTGATAGAATTGAAGACTATCATGTTAAGTGAAATATACCAATCTCAAAAAACCAAAGGCCAAACGTTCTCTCTGATGTGTGGATGATGACTCATAATAGGTGGTAGGGAGGGAGAGGTGGAGGTTCACCAGATTGGATAGGAGGGAATGGGAGGAAGAGTTGGGAGTGGGAATGGGAAAGACAGTAGAATAAATTTGACCTAAATTTCCTATGTTTATATATAAATACACGACCAGCATAACCACAAGAATGGGAAGTTATATTCCATGGGTGTATGTCAAAATAGATTCTATTGCCGTGTATAACTAAAAAGAATAAATAAAACAAGGACTATAAAAATAGATGGATAGATAGATAGATAAAAAGAAAGCAGGCAAATAAAAGAGTAGAGTAAAAATATTAGGGTTTGTTTGTTTTGATTTGGGGATTGAACCCAGGGGTGCTTTTTTTGAGACTTTCTCAAACAAAAATTGAAGGAATTTGTTGCCAGTACACTTTGTCATATAAGAAATGTTTTAAGTTGTTCTCCAGATAGAAGTAAATTATATAAATCATAAATGGGGTCCACATAAAGAAATAAGGGCACTACAGAGGTAGTAAATGAAGATAAAATGAAACTTACGTATTTCTTTTTCTTAATTGATCTAACATATAAAGAATTTGTCTAAAATAAGAACTGCACAAAATATCTGACAACTATAGTTTACTAATTAGTGCAAGAAATAACAGCAATATTATAAGGTTCTGCAGGGAAAAACTCTGCTGTAAAGTTCCCATACTAACCAGCAGAGTTATTTGAAAGTGGCCATGAATTGATAATGAATATTATAAGCTCTAAGCCACAAAAAATATAAAAAATAAGAAAATATATGACAGTGTGCCAAGAAAGGACAAAAAATAAAGCCATATAAAATTTTCAATTAAAATAAGATGTGGTAGGAAAAGACTGAAAGTCAAAACTGAAATGAAGGGCAGTAAATGGAAATTAATATTGAACATGGTAGATACTACTCCAACAATATTAAGGATCACTTTACATATCAATGGTCTAAATAAACCAATTGAAAGATAGACATTGCAAAGCATATAAGAGCCAACTACATGTTATCTACAAGATATCACATTAAATATAAAGGTAAAAACAAAGTGAAAGCAAACATATGGAGACAGATATATACTATATACTAGCATTAGTCAAAAGAAAGCTGGAATAGCTATATTAATTTCAGGAAAAGGACAGTATAGAACAAAGAAAAATATCCAGGAAAGGGGGATACAACATGATGAAAACAGGTCAATTTTCTAAGAAGGTATCATAATCCTTAATATAAATATGCTTAGTGTTATGGTTTGGATGTGAGGTATCCCCCCAAAGCTCATGTGTGAGACAATACAAGAAGGTTCAGAGGAGAGATGATTAGGTTGTAAGTGTCTTAACCTAATCAGTGAATTAATCTCCTGCAGGGATTAACTGACTGGTAACTGAAGTGGTAGGGTGTGGCTGGAGGAGGTGGGGATTGGGGCTTTGGGGTATCTGGTGAGTAGAGTCTCTCTCTGCTTTCTGATCACTATGTGAGCTACTTCCCTCTGCTACACTCTTCCACCATGATGTTCTGCCAATATTTCATCACCTCGAGCTCCGAGAAATGGGGCTGGCCTTCTATGGACAAAGACCTTTGAAACTAAGCCCATAAATAAAACTTTCCTCCCATAAAATTGTTCTGGTCAGGTCCTTTAGTCACAGCAGCAAGAGCTGACTAAAATACCTAGTGACAGAACATCAAAATACACAAGGTAGGACTAGCATTGTAGCTCAGTGGTAGAGCACTTGCCTAGCATGTGTGAGGCACTCAGTTCAATCCTCAGCACCACATAAAAAATAAATAAAAATAAACTTATTTTAAGAATACATAATGTAAAAAATGATAAAACTGTAAAAAAAAAAGACATATGCTCTATCAGAGCTGGAGACTTCAGTACTCTTCTGTCGGTAGTTGAAACATTCATAAGGCCTGAAATCAATAAGCACCATCAATCAAATGAATATAACAGACATCTATAGAATATTTGATCCAACAACAGTAGAATATATATCGTTCTCAATGTCACATGGAACAATCATCAAGATAAACCAAATTCTGATACATAAAATATACTGGAAAAAATTTAAAAGAATAGAAATCATACAAAGCATGCTCTCAGACCATAATTAAGTTATTCTAGAAATCAATAACCTAAAAATCTAGGCCCCAAAATTTGAAGATTAAACAGTATATTTCTAAATAACACCTTGGTCATAGAGAGTCTTAAAGGAAAATTTAAAATATTTTTAATTAAATTGAAGTACAACTTTGTGGGATGCTGCTAAAAAAGGTGCTTAGAAGAATGTTTATAGCATTAAATGTACAAAGTAGAACAGAAAAAAATTCACTATTAATCTATGATTCCATTTTAAGAAAACAAAAGAAGAATAGTAAATTCTACCCAAAGTAAGAAGAGAATATAAGAGTCTAATCAGGTTAATTAAGAAGGAAAGAAATACAGAAAGAGTGAAGACACAAATAACTAACATCAGAAATGAGGGACCATCACTGCTGATGCCATATACATTAAAAGAGTAATTAAAGTAAATTATGAATAATTCTATGCCCACAAATTTAATAACCTAGATGAAATAAACTAACACCATGAAAGACACAATCTTCCAAAACTCACACAAGATTAAACAGAAAATCTGAAGAGGCTTGTATCTACTAAATTGAGGCAATAATGAAAAGCCTTCTAAAACAGGAAACACTAGGCCCAGCTGGCTTCAATGGTGGATTTTGCTGGACCTTTAATGAAAAAATGATGCCAAGTCTGTATAATCTCTTTCAGAAAAATCTCTTTGGACCTGGTAACATGGGCACCCTCTATATAAAAGGTATTAGAATTCTAGGCTCTCTGAAGAAAAGGTGTTCAGTATAAGCCACATTGTTAAAATAGGCAGTTTATGCAGTGAGCCATTCTTACTATTTAGGGAAACTTTTCAATCAATGTAGAGAACTGTTTACCATTCAAAAGTTTCCTGATATCAGCAAAAGTCTAATCTTATAAAAATGCATTTCTCAGTACAGCAGTTCCAAGCCTTTTATGTAAACTCTTTTCTGTAAAGGTACACTGACACAGAATAGTCAGAAAAGGAATAAAATAAAAGTAAACACGAGGAAAATGATGGAAGACTCTAGATTTTATCTAGTTTATGGAAGAGAAGCAGCCCTTCTCCATTCAAAACTAATTTTATCCATTATAGTTGCTCATGACTTACCACCTTCAATCACTTCAGATGTGATAGATACCCAATAAACTGGTTATTAGAGGTTGAGATCCAGACTGCTACAATCTGCATGACCTCGGACAAGATGAATTATAAGAACCTTGTCTTAGTCTATTCCTTCTTGTTATAATAAAGCATTTGATACTAAGGATTTTATAAAGAAAAACATACACTGGAGAAAAGATATCTTCTTCAACAAATGGTGATGAGAAAACTGGAAATCTATACATAGCAAAATGAAATTAAACCCATATCTCACCCTGCATGAAACTCAACTCAAGTAAATCAAGGACTTAGGCACTAGAACAGAGACCCTATCCCTACTAGAAGACAAAAATAGGCCCAAATCTACATCATGTCAGCTTAGGGACTGACTTCCTTAATAAGACTCCTAAAGTACAAGAAGTAAAATCAAGAAACAATAGTGGGATAGAATCAAACTAAAAAGTTTCCTCATGGCAAAGGAAACAATCAGGAAAGTGAAGAGAGAGAAAATCTTTGCCACCTGCACTTCAGATAGAGCATTAAACTTCAGGATTTATAGAGAACTCAAAAAAATTAACAGAAAAAAGAGAAACAACCCAATTCATAAATGGGCAAAGGTACTGAGCAGGCACTTCAAGAAGAAGAAATATGATTGGTCATGAAATATATGGAAAAATGTTCAGCATCTCGAGAAATGTAAGTTAAAACTACACTGAGATTTCATCTCACTCCAGTCAGAATGGGAATTATCAAGAATACATGAATAGTCTTACAATGCCAACTGTAAACTACAAAATGGCAGGAACCTTGCTTATTGTCTCTGTAGACCTGTTACACCCAGCACAGTCATTGGCATATGATAGGTACCCACTGAATGATGGCTTATTTGAACAGCAGCCACTGCAAGTCCCATATAAGCAGTAGTCCCAGTGCAGCATTCCCCTTCCCCTTCCACCCAAAAAGATAATGAAAGATCTCAGGGAAAAATATAGAAGATCTCTTCCCGATCATCAAAACACAGCACTAATTTAGTTCTTTCCTCTTGTGGAATTTAGAAACAGAGACTGAGAAACGTGAAATTGGAAGAGACTCTAGGTGTCAGAGTTCCACTCCTCTTACATATAGCACGACTGAAGCCAAGAATGAAGTACCTTATCCAAGGTCAAACAGGGAGTTGCTGGAAGAGCTGGCTCAAGAAATCAGAGGGCCTTAGTTCCCAGGCCAGGTTTTTAACTAAAAGAGCTCCTAATTCACATGGTTCCCTGCTGAGACAGAGTTTGGGGAAATCCTTGCAACAGAAAGTTGTCACTGTTTCTAAGGCATAGCTAGTAATAGAATTTAGGAGCAAGGTTTCTGAAACATACCTCTTGTAATTGAGATTCTTTCTTTTTAGATGACAGATGTAAGTGCCGGTCCAGTAAAGAATAAAACCTTTCACCATCCTTTTCAAATTTCTTTTTCCGCTCCTACACATGGGAGAGAAGGTACAGATTAAATGTCATTTTAGTTCTGTGGACTTAGAAATGTGAATGAAGAAGAGAGTATCGGGTTTCATGTGGTCAATTCCTCTAGCTCCTGGGAAGGAAGAAAAATGACAGCAGAGAATTTGCTTTTGCAACAGGCTCAGCAGTTTGGACTTCCTCAAATATAACCCCAAACCATTCTATATCCAGAAAGGTCAGGTCATATTGACATAGCTGAAGGCTCTGGGAGATGCAGCTCAGAAAATGGCATTTAAAAGGGGCCACTGTGATAGTTACCTTTTCTTCCCTCTATTGTTTTATGCATGCATTAATCACTCATTCATTTTTTAAAAGGAAGAAGGAACACAAGAGTGAACTAAATATATCTTGGAAAGGTTCATCTACAATGCATTCAGATAGCCTCATAATATGACAAACATTTTTAAGACAATAGGAACCGGGACTGTCTCTTTGAATGAATTCTTCAGTATTATTCAGCATTTCACTGTTATATATTAAAAGCTGATGTTAACAATGGGATGAGGGGGAACCCTGGAAGATTTAGCTGCAAAGCAATATTCCAAAGCTTTACAAGTGATGGAGGACTTGGCCTTCATTCTCCTTGGAAATGATATTTAATTAAGTTCTCTGCTGCTCAGCACAAGTCGAAGTCACACAGTCTCCAAATAACACTAAAAATGACCATTTGTCACAGACTACTGCTGACATTGCAACTTTTCTCAGCACCAGGTTAGGAAATCCACATAAAGGGCTTATGTTGCTTCATTCATAGGAAATCCAAACTCCCTGAGCACCTCCCTACAATGTTCCAAATACTAGTAAAGATTCAGAGATGAGAAGGGAAAAAAACCTCACCTATGGTTTATTGTGCAGGAAGCTAGGTAAGAGCAGAGTGATCAGTGACCTGTGATCAGATTCCTACAAGGAATATGCTTTTGACTACATTATTTTTAATGGAAAGAAAAAAGTAGGGAGAAAGACAAAATTAACTGAGGATTCCATCAGGCTGGGCACTGTAATGGATATTTGAAATCTATTATCACTTTTAGTCTTAACAACACTAAAAAGTAGATATGGTAAAGAAATGAAGGTTCAAATGAGGTGACATAACTTATTCAAAGTCACATAATATACAGATCCATCTGACTCCTTCCAATAGTGAAATACAGCCCAAAATATCATGGGGGAAATAAAACTCAGGGGGCTAATAAATCAATGATCAGGAAGTTCTGTGAACAAAGTGGAGGCAGGTCTATTGTCCTGGCCCTAAGACACCAAAACACAGAAGGTAGAGATATTCACACAAAACATAGGCAAAACTGTTCCTCCAGCTGCTAAAACAATTTAAAGTAATGATTATTTGAGGAAAGCATGGGAGCCAGCACATTCTCCAGGAATAGATAAAATTTCATGGGCTAATTTCTCTTATACTTCCATTTTTAAATAAAAACCATGAGACATAACTCACATCATAAAATTCATGTCCTTGAAGTATACAATTCAGTATTTTTTCAGTGTATTCACAAAGGTATATAACTATCACTGCTATCCAACTCTCAAATATTTCAATTACCTCAAAAGAAACCGCATACACATTAGCAGTCACTCCCCATTATTTTACCAAGCCCACCTTCAAAAAGCCACAATCTAAAATCCATGGATTTTTGTATTCTAGACTTTTCATGTAACTGGAATCATGCATTATGGCCTTACATGACTGGCTTCTTTTGCTTAACGTGTTTTCAAGATTCATCCAACTTGTAGCACATTATCAGTATATCATCCTTTTTTATGATGGAAAAACATTTGAGTATATGGATGCACTATATATGTTATCAATTCATCAGCTGATGCACACTTTTTATTATCTTTTGGTTATATGATACTGCTATGGATATTCATGTACAGAATTTTCTGTGTTCATGTTTTCAGTTTCCTGGAGCATATATCTAGGAATGAGGAATTGACTTTCTGTTTTGTTTGATTTTTTGGTGCCATGGATTGAACCTAAACATCGAGCCACAGCCCAAGCCCTTTTCAATTCATTTATTTATTTTGAGACAGGGTATGGCTAACTTACTGAGGCAATCTTTTAATTTGGGATATTCCTGCCTCAGCCTCCCAAATTACTGGGATTATAGGGATGCACAAACACATCCCATGGAATTGACCTTTTGAGGAATTGACAAACTGCCTTTCCAGAATTGGAGTACATTCACACAGGAATATGTATAGAGTTCCAATACCTTTACATCCTCACCAAAATGTAACTAACAAAGTGGAAGTGAAGTGGTATCTCACTGAAGATTGATTTACATTTTCCTACTTTTTTGTAACATGGCTTTTCATGTATTAATGAACCCTTTGTATATATTCTTCCAAGGATGTTTATTGAACTACTTTGGCCATTTTAAAATTAGATTTATCATTTTATTATTGAGTTATAAGAATTCATTTTACATATTCTCAATATTACATTTGCAAGTATTTTCTCCCACTCTTTCAGTTATCTTGGCATTTTCTTGATAGTATCCTTTGGAGAATTAAAGTTTTTAATTTTGTGAAGCCTATTTTTTCTATGGTTGCTCATTCTTTTGGTGATATAGCTAACAAACTGCTGCATATTATTTCTCCTCAGAGTTTCACATTTTACAGTTTAATCTTATATATTCATGTTGAGTAACTTTTGACCATGGTGTAATATAAGGCTCTAACTTCTTTCTATTGCTTGTCATGGGTCTATTCACATTTTATATTTCTTCATGAGTGCACTTACATTTAACTCTACTAAATTCAACAAACAGTGACCTAAGCCTACTACTTCTGGGATATCCCAACACTGGTTAAAACCAAGGACATTTGCCAGGCCTGTAATCCCAGCAGCTCAGGAGGCTGAGGCAGGAGGATGACAAGTTCAAAGCCAGCCTCAGCACAACCGAGGCACTAAGCAACTCAGTGAGACCCTGTCTCTAAATAAAATACAAAAAAGAGCTGGGGATGCGGCTCAGTGGTTAAGCGTATCTGAGTTCAAACAGTTTCTCACTAAGTTTCTGAGGCTGGCTTTGAACTAGCAATCCTCCTGCCTCAGCCTCCCTAGCTGTGGGGTCACAGTTCTGCCCACTGTGCCCAGTCCACTTTCACGTCATTAAGCCAATTCTTTTAGTATTTACTTCCACATCTCTAACATCTCAGAATAAAATTCCTAGTTGTAATTTCTTAAATGTTAATTTGTATGCATTATTTATTAACTTCCCATTACATAAAATATGGATTCTGCTGTCTCCCCTCTTCCTGTACCATTACAATCCCCACCACCATCATCACTCCATACCACTTCCCCCCTACACACACACTTCCCTTTCCCTCATACTCTTTATGTACTCTTCTTGTAATTTTGATATCTATTCAATATTTACATAATTGTGACTATATAAACATTATTTATAGATGATCCATAAAGTAGAATATGATTTATATTACTTCCTATGCAATGTTTTTATTCGTTAAATTCAATAATTGCCTTTTGTTTAGCTTTGATTAATTGTTGATTAGTTTTCAACATGCTCAGTACTCACTGATTTAATCTCTACCTCTCTTCCAGTTCTCTGAGTCTCAATATGTTCATTGATATCACTTGGTTTAAAAATAGTATTACCTAGAAACTTCTGATGTACTATTCTGGACCTGTAGTCTAAGTACCCAATTATCATTTGGGGAGGGTTTGCCTTTCACCTTGAGCCTAGGATTCCCCTTGCCTCGCTTCTATGTTGCGACTTTTCCATTTTTTCTGCCATATTCCATGTTCATTTCTCCTATTTACTTTTGTGTTACCATAAAATCCATTTATATATAGATACCTGAAAAAGGGCATATATGTGAGTTGAGAAACTTTCATGTTTAAAATTCATTTACTGACTTTCATTTTTAATTGATAGTTTGGCTAGATATAGAATTCTAAGTTTATAGGATTCTGTATCATTTCAGAGATATATAGATTTCCTGATAAGTCCTCAAGTTAAAAAAGAAAAAATCTATCTCCATCCCTCCTAGTGGGTACTTGATGAAACCTTTCAGTCTTTAAATTCAGTTCTTGTAACTCTAGGCCTTAGTAGAAATTAAATGCTTTTCTATTTGGTTCTTTTTAGTTATATACAGCATTACGATTCATTTTGACAAAATTATGAAAGCATGAAATATAATTTGTTCTAGGGGCCAGGGTTGTGGCTCAGCGACAGAGTGCTTGGCAAGCAGGCATGAGGCACTGGGTTCGATCCCCAGCACCACATAAAAATAAAAACAAATAAAATAAAGGTATTGTGTCCATCTACAACTAAAAAAAGTATAAAAATAAATATAATTTGTTGTAATTCATTCCACAGTACTTCCCCTTTCCCTTCTTTTCTCCCTTCCCCTGTTCCCTTATCTCTACTGATCTTTCTGCTGTATACTTATAGGTTTTTTTAAATTAGCCTCTTGTGTATGCATCACAGTAAATTCCAACACCTGAGAATCAATGAAGATTGTGTATATGACTATGAAATGCTTTTTAATCTGGGTTAGAGGATGTACTAATCATGCTTCCAACTTAGTTTCCTTGTATTTAGTCTATTCTCCATTGTTGAATAGTCTAAACCATTACAGCCCTAAACCGTTGGGTTCACCTCAGCAATAAATATTCTATGTGCTTCAAACAAACATGAGAAGTCAGATATTGTGGCAAATATTTCTTCCTTCTCAAAAATTAGTTGCATCATCTAAAACTTACTATGTACTGCCAAAACATGTACTAGAAATAAAGTCACCAGCTTCATGATAGATCAGAGATTCATATGGCAAAACAGTCAAAGGCTGTCCTTTAACAAAAAGCCTGCAAAGGAGATGAGCAGATTCTCTTGTGTCTGGCAAATATCACCTATTTTTTAAACTTTCTCTTGAAATTTGAATATTATACAAAAATCAGTGAGTATTTTTATGAATTGTTA